ATATTATATATATATATATATATATATATATATATCATAGTTTCGCATTATTTCAGATTTCGAGCTGAAATACAAAGTATGCAAAACCATGAAAGCTGACTGCGCAGTTGGTAACGTTTTAAAGAAGGTTGTAGCCTACTCGGAACACGAATGTGAACTCGTTTTGGCTAAGAATGAAAATGGATTACTGAATTGATAGTTAGGTGATCCCCCAGTTTTAAAATTTCAACGGAATTTAGGGGCGAGGGATATAGAAAATCAGATGAACATCACTTCAGCTATTTAACGCAGCACGTGCATTATTGAAGCATGGATCTAAAACCTGGCCAGTTTGAGTTTGATCAATATAGTTTGACAACTACTGTTTTCGAACAATCGCTTCCGGTCAGTGGGAGCATCCAATAAGTAATGGTTAAGAGACAATAAGCGCTAGACAAAGAATCACTCCCACCTCCCGCCTCGAAATCAGCATTTTTTGGCATCGTTTGCGATGGCTTGAACATGTTCGGAAAGAATATTTGTGTACTGGATACGGTTGGGAGGAAATTCGAAAACCGAACTATGACACGGTGAAGAACAATGGGGAGGAAAGGAGCTTTCTGTCATGTGGGCCAGTTTAGGCTACAAATCGTTCTGAGTGTCTCCGGGTAGGAAACCCCATATATAAGGCTATTAGCCGAGTACAGTGACGAGGTTGCTTCAGTTATTCCATATTTATTCATACCCCGATAAGAGAAAAACTTGGGATCGCCTAAAATTGAAACAACCGAAAAATGACGCTATTAGACACACCATTTTCTTATACTCTTCTGGTCTCCTGATTGTCTTTGTTTTCATTTCTTAAAGATTCTTGTATCATGAACTGCTTGACACGATCTGCAGCCAGACCAGCTAGATGCACACACACACACCCTATTTACTCACATTTCAAGTTCTCAAAGTATTTCCCCTCACAGATGAAGAGCTATAACAATTTGGGTTTGGACTATGACAGTCAAGCTTTACAAAGAAAACCAGAATAGGAAATTCCCTTTACTCAGTTTTAATTAAAAAGGAAATATGACGGAGAACGGTTAATAATGCCGAAATGAAGGTACCTCAACTCCTGAGGTGTACCTATTTTACCACACACACACACACGCACATAATGTCCATAGAAGACATGAGAATCTTCGTGGACTCGTCCTTGAAGCCGACTTGTTATCACACATGAGGAAATCACTCAAAAGTGACTGTAGTGGAACCATTCAAATAATGCACCAAATTTAATTCTAACGCTTCATGCCTAATTACTTCAGTACAAAATGCTCAACTGAAAAAAAATATTGGAGAATCGACACAGAGGAACAAGTGCAAACGACCAGTAAAAAGATGAGCACATTCCCTTTTCTGGCAGTGGTTTTATTGACATCTTTCATAAAATCGGTTTTCACGAACAAGTAAACGTGCAATAAATTGTCACCAAATCCGAATAATATTAAATTTCAAGCCTACTGGTTGAAAGCAGTAACACTTTGTACACGGTGAAGGAAAATTCACACAATGATACTCTTCGAGTAGGAACAATGTACCAGTAACTGTGTGATGGAAACAAGCTACAGTATTTTAATGTTCTGCATGAGTATAATTCGCTGTCACCAACGTGCTCTGGGCTCCAAGGTTCGAGGCACCTAACACTACCACTGGCACCAGAAATTGAAGGTAGCCAACTTAACTGTCGTCCAACTCGAGACTAAGCACATCTTAACTAACTGTAACTGAAAAAAATAATAGAGCTGCATGATCAACTCACCTTCATCTTCCGCTTTCACAAAACTCCCCAGATCGCTGGATCCAGATTTCTGTCGTCCATTGCCCATACGTTCAACGGTGGATTTTGATATACCTGCAGTAGAATTACAGTGTTAATTTCCGGAACTAAAGAAAAGATTCAAGCTCGGTATCCAATCACAAACTCGATACACAATGTTTCGATAGAAATCAGACAACTAAACTCCGAACCCCACAGCGATGAACGTTATTGAACAAATAAATTACCTTTCTGTAGTGCCTCGGCCAACACGGCAGTTGGAGGGGGTGAGCAGGAAGTGGATTGCGTATTAGCCGCATGGGCAATGAGGGAAAACGCGTAACGAGACCGGGAACTAACGTAACGATATGAAACCAAGTGCTGGGCCAGATGGAACAAAGACTGGAATTGCATTCCCAACACTTGTTGGGCATACTCCAATAGAATGTGTGCGACGTCAGCCACTACCGGGCCACGGACACCCAATACTGTCCGGATAGTTGATTCATCTGCCCACGTGGAACCATCAGTCCCCGATTCGTTAGTCTGAAGTAACCGAATAAGAGGGCTTGTTGTAGTCAGGCGCCTGTGTGAGGTTTCACCACTTGTGCTTGAACTACTTGCTGGAGAAGTTGTAGAATGCCCTGGACCGCCCTGTGCAGTCAGACCAAGCGCCTCATCAGTCAAGTCCGGAAGATAAGGTGGTTTGACTTCAGTCTTTTTGCGCATACCACCATAACAGTACCTGGTAAAAAAAGATCAGAGTAAATGGAACGGTGGGGTCAAAGACTGGTCAGTTGACCAGAAATACAAAAGGACTGTCAGAGTTACTAATCAAGCCCACTGATTATTGAGAAAGCTAAGAGCGCTAAGTGACAGAGGAACTTTGGCTTTGCAAAAACGGCCGGGAATAAACTGACTCCAGTGTGACGAAGATCGATAAATAAATGGATTCGTGGGCACAACGGGCTAAGTCAATACCTCGTGACACATGTCTGTGCCGTGCACCGGGGAAATTCGAGTAAGCGGAAACAACCGGCCCAGTCGACCTCAACGACCAATCTGTCTGGGTGAGAGACAAGCACGTGAACACGCACGAATCCGCATGCGTGCACATACCACGGGACACAACTGTTGAGGCGGGGGTAGGGGATAGAGCCAATGTATGCGTCAGAGATGAGGCTGGGGTGACGGAACGAAACGAAACGAGCAACGTCGTGACATGTGGCACACACACACACAGGTCGACGATCCGAAACGAATCAAATCGGGGTAGTGTCAGTTGCGTGTGCATTGTGATGAGGTTCACAGATCTTACTTAGTACAAAATGCAAACTGGACCGGTCGGTCCTGGTGACTGGAATCCGGAATGCGTGAGGCAAAATGCGAGTGGCAGGAATAACAATCACC